TCTACTTATGGAGATGGGAATGAGGACTCACACCCACTTTTACTCCGTGCAGCAGAGCAGGCTGCGTGGAGAAGGTGGACTACTTTCATCTTTGTGATTGTGTTTTACCTTTTGATGCCCTGGATGTTTATGCCTGTATCGTGTATTAATTATTAGCATCCTCTAGACTTCCTTCTGTCTTAATCTGATTTAAAACAGACATTTGCATTTGAAAAGTAGCTAGCATGTATAGCGAATCCTTTCCCTTGGTTTGCTATTAATACAGCCAGCTTGATGTATTAACTTAATGCTGTTTGCCAGGGGTGAAATTAGCACACCACCTATGGAGAGGCACTTCCGTGGTGAACCTACTGCTTTTACCCACAGGCAAAGCATCTACCTCCCCTGGTGCAAAGCCTGGATCCTGACTGCAGCAGCATGGTCACACAGCTGCTCCTGTCCCCGCTGCCTTTGTGCCGGTTTTGGGAGGTCCAGAGGCTCTGCCTCCTGCCCCTGGCACAGGGCACTGCGTGCAAAGCCCGACCTGCTATGGGGAAGGGTGAATTTACAGGAGAAGGATTAGACATCTGTTGTAATGGAGGAAGTGAGAGCTAAACACGCTACAATGCACCAAACCAGCAGTTGAGGGTTGTGCGGGGAACGAGGCAGGTGAATGCAGAGGAACACATGGTTGGAAGAGGACTGGGCGAGATCAGGATTTGTCTAATGGTCTTCACGATGGTGGAAGCACGGAGGCTGAAATGCAGATGTCCTTCAAAATTATCTAAACTTTCTCTTGCAATATCTTGACTAGTTGGGGAATAAAATAAACCAATCCTCTGGAGAGTTCAGTACCAGTATTTCATTTTTTCCTTTTTTTTTCTTTTTTTGATTGCACTGTATTGCTTACATAATTTAGGTCTTTTGGGAAGTTGCCCCAAGCCTGATTGATCTGTTTAAATTGGTGCAAAGGGCACATGGAGCCACTGGTGTAACTCACTCAGGTTGGTTTAACCACAGTGATGAGCGGTGGGCATGGGACCGGGGGACCAAAGGTGCAGTGTCAGGCTCACTGATGTGACAGTAGCTGAGCTGGCTCAAGTCACCAGCCCCAACCCACCGTGGCTGCTCGTGCAGGCTTTCCCTCCACTCTGCTGAGGTCTGGCACTCAAACTGCACGGAGTAGCCTCTCCTTGCCCTGCTCCAGCACAACATTCCAGGTCAGCTGAGGCTCCTTGAACAGGAGGGTTCGCTCACGCGGCTTCTGCTGTCGTGACTGGGTGAGGAGCAGTATTTCTGCGTGGCAGAGCTGGGAAGGGGATGGCCTTTGGCAAGAAGTAGCACTGAGCAGCAGGGGCTGGAAACCAGGCTCTCCTAGAACAGCATGTCTGATCACAGCATTAGTTGATTAGGAACAGCTCAAAGTGAACTTGTTTCTTCCTAAATGCCCGCATAGCATTTTTCACCAGGTTGAGTTGGTTTTAAAAGCATTGATGTTAAATTATTACAACTTCTGCCCATGGACGAGACTCAAAGCAGCTTCCAGAGCTCATTTACAAAAGGGGTTGGAAAAGTTATTTCAAGTTAACAGCCTACATTACAGTAGTAGTTATTTGAACAGGTGGGGACTGGGGGAAGTAGTGACATTAGCCAAATTGTGAATCATAAGCTAATCAGATTGCCACCCATGTTTGCACCAAAAGAAAAAAAAAAAGCGGTGCACGAAAATACCATACATAGCCAGCTACAGAACTGACTCAGCAACGACCCAAACTTTTGTTGGGGTTTGCCAAGGTGAGTGGTGACACTTCCATTTGGTACAGGCACAGGCTCGCTCTGTAAGCCACCGGAGAGTCTGGCTCTCCTCTGACTCCACCACCTCTGGGGCTTGTTTGTACTCTTTGCTCCCCACCACATTTCTGCTCCATCCAAGCAGTGATGAGTTTGGGGCTTTCTGCTCTTTACATTTACTCTTCATCTGGGTCTGTTCTTCTACAGCAATCAGCCCTTGGGTTTCAGGCTCTTCCCGCAGTGGAGCTGGCAAAGCAAAGAGACCAACTTCGGATGTCCCAGGAGGGCACCCCAGGACACCCACAGCCTCTGCCTCCTCCAGAGATGCTGCAAGCTGCTCTTGCTGGTGCAAAGGATGAGTTTGGCTGTCTGGGAAGAAGCGGCTCGCACAGATGTTCCTTGACCCTTCCAAAACCCAGGTGAAGGGCTGCACAGAACCCTGCCGTGGCCCAGCTCTGCCAGGCAGTGAGGGCTGCACTGCCCACGTGCTGCAGGGAGGCTTGCCTCCACTGAGGAGTCCCTGGGGTAAAAAATAATATGGAGATGTAACCAGATTAAAAATAAAATAAAATAAAAACTACACTGTTGAAACTCTGTTGATGTCAGTGGAATTCCTTGCGTCTTACACCAGTGAGCAGAAAATCAGATCTAAAGTGCTGAGGCTGCTGGCAGATGCTTGCCTGTTTGTGTGTGCAGTGGAGAAAAGTGCTTGTTTGGTGCTGATTGCAGACTACGGAATAAGAGCAATTTCTCATCCCACCTCCACAGAAGCTATTTAAATAGTTCTACACCCACTTTGAAAGATGCTCAGTTAGAAAGGGAGTAAATCTGGAAGTTATTACTCCTCGAAGGAAGAAGCACCAATAAATAGGCTCTGCTAAGACTGCCGGTGCTCTTGGGGATAGCACCCGCCTAAGAGCTACGGCTCCCTCCGCCTTCCTGCCTTTGCCGTGAAACAGTTTTTATTTGGCAGCCTGTGGAGAAAGCACACGCTGCGGGAAAGAGCCTCACGGCTTGTTTCTGAGGAGCCCTTCGAGCCCACTCTTTGTCCCAGTTAAGCCAGGGGCCAAAGCCCAGCTGGTGACGTGCAGATGCCGCGCAGACTGCACAAGCCACCACGCGCTCCCCATCCAGCCCAGGAGGGGAGGGAACAGCTAGCAAAAGCCAAGGACATGCAAGGCGAGGCAATAGGCAGAGCGCTAATTAAAAAAGCCCTTATGAAATACCAGGGACGGGGTCGTGCCACGTGCCATCATTAAATGCCTCCCTTTCCCCTCCATGGGGATTCCTGGCCACCAACTCACTCGCAAAGTGAGCGGCATTTGCCAGCTCTTTCCTAAAACTGGTGGTGGAGATTTAACCCACAGTGCAGCATCTCTGCAGGGCTTCTGGTGGGATGCTGCCCACCGCCTGGCTGCTGTCTCGGCCACCCATGTCCTGTGTCACCTCCCTCTTTGCTGACCCTCCTGCCCAGCGGGCTACTGCAAACCAGCGGAGGCCTCTTCCCCAAAGCGGCCACTGGCCAAGTCTCTTCCCAGGGGGTATCGAAGGAAAAGTTAAACCCAGGTGGGGAACCGGACCACCAGCTCTGTGCAGGGGGCTCAGGTGTGAGCCAGGGACCTTGCCGCTGGTCGCTCCTAAGCCATCTGCAACACTGGTCATGCCTGAGAGCAGACATTCAGGCGGCCAATCCCACCACATTAGATGCTTGTGGATTTAAGGTGTTTCCGAACTAGGCTGCACCCAAAGAGAGACTTTTATGAATTTATGCACTAAAAATAGCCACAGAGTGCCTAAGTCCACTAATGAATCTCATACAATGCTACTGTCAGAGCCAGCTGCTCGTATTTATACCTTCTCAGCACAGTCATCCTGCTCCATAATACAGCACGCCGGGGCCCCGACCCTACAGTGAGTTTCAGGCAAAGCCTTATTTGTCTCTGGCTTTCCCCCAGCAGAGCTCTACTGTGAGATTAAGATCTTAATATTTATAAGCCTCTGGTTTTACTATCTGTTTAATGTCACGGTAAATCAAGTGCCTACACTGCTATCCCTCCATCCCACCTGAAACCCTCACCTTATTAGCAAAGGTCAGTTATGTTTTTCCTTAAAAATAAACTAATTATAAAACCGCAGTGATTTTCTCACATTTAAATAGCCTCTGTAACAACCAATTATTTCCGAGGACATGAGAAACAGCTGTTGCAATGCCGAAGCTCAAACAGTTACATCTCAGCTATTTGAACGGATAAGAGTTGATATTTTTATTCCCATGTGATATTACCAAGAAGTGATAAACAACCATAGTGTTAGTATTAATTTGTGGAGCAAAGACCACTTTAATTTGCCCCAAGCTGAGGAACAATTTTAACAGAGTATTACCATTCCACAAACAACTATTTGAAAGTCTGTTCTGTCTTTCCCTCCTTTTTTCCCCCTCTTCCTTTTGTTTTTAATAAAGCAACACAACCCTGGGCAAGGGCTAGTTGAAGGCAGAGGCAGTTTGTAAGCCAGCCTTAAATCCTTACAGATTGGGGAGTGGACTTCAAAAAATGTTTTCCAAAGTTTAGTCCGGCACTGTCCACTAATGAATAAAAAGAGAGCACTGACTTTGCCTCCCAGGGACCTTCTCAGCTCCTACCAGAAGGTGGGCAAACATCACACAGGAGTTGATTCCTCTCCCACAGCCTTCGGGTGAGGACTTCTGCTAAAAGCTTCTCTCTTCAATCTGCATATAATCACCCAAATCACAAAGTGGGATCTACGTGTACTTGGCATCTGCGGAAACTGGGCTGCCTTCATTTAGGCTTGTGAGTATAGAGCCAAGCCTGGAGCTCCAGGCCGCCAGCTCTGCAAGGTTTTGCTTAACTCTTTTGAAATTCTGCCTGCCCTTAGCAATGGGCAAGCGTGTCCGTGGCACAAAGAATGGTGGTTTGAACTAATTAAGCAACAGGGTAACATTTTTTAACTGCACACATGCTTGTCGCCAAGCCCTTCCAAACATCTTAGCTGCGCTGTGTTTTTGTGCTGCTTTTCTCCCTTTGGATCATGACACACTTGACAACAGCGATAAATCGGCTCTCGGGCTGTCCTATTAGCCAGGAAAGCGTTATCAACCCCATTTAGCTGGAAATCTGAGGCCTACAGGTAATCTAACAGAGTGATTACCCCAGGTAGCTACCAAAACCAAGCCAGTCTCAGGAGAGGAGTCCCACTCCACCTGCTCCGGAATGATGCTCTCCTGGAAGGTACGAGGGTGATTCTCAGTATCCTACCTGGGCAAACACTTTAAGCACAGAGTTACAAGATTAAAAGAAAAAAAGGGGGTTAGGGACAGGTGAGCGTGTGACAGCACTTTCTCTTACATTTTGTGTGGGTTTCAATCCAAGAAGCATGTTGTCTCTCTCCCTCAACACAAATTTTCATGCTGCTTCTTTACTTCTTTTTAGGATCAGTCAAGGGCATTACTCAACATCATCTAAAGTAAGGCGCATCCAAGTGTGCAAAGCAGTAGGAAATTTTTCACATAAAAAAACTGGAAGGGACTTCATGCTCCTCCAGAGTTAGATGGCAGCTGAGCAGACAACTCTGAGGAATTAAATTTTGGAGGCATCTAAAGTGCACCCTCCGTAAGTTTGCAGATGACACCAAGCTGAGCTGTGCAGTTGACACGCCTGAGGGATGGGATGCCATCCAGAGGGACCTGGACAAGCTCAAGACATGGCTCCAGGTGAACTTCATGAGGTTCAAAAAGGCCAAGTGCAGGGTCCTGCACCTGGGCTGGGGCAATCACTGGTATCAATATAGCCTGGGGGATGAAGGGCTTGAGAGCAGTCCTGCCGAGAAGGATGTGGGGATACTGGTGGATGAAAAGCTGGACGTGAGCTGGCAATGTCCACTTGCAGCCCAGAAGGTCAACTACATCCTGGGCTGCGTCAAAAAAGCATGGCCAGCAGGTCGAGGGAGGTGATTCTGACCCCCTACTATGCTCTGGTGAGACCCCACCTGGAGCGCTGCATCCAGCTCTGGAGCCCTCAGCACAGAAAAGTCATGGACCTGTTGGAGTGGGTCCAGAGGAGGGCCACAAGAATGATGGGAGGGCTGGAGCACCTCTCCTATGAAGACAGGCTGAGAGAGTTGGGGTTATTCAGCCTGGAGAAGAGAAGTCTCCTGGGATACCTTATAGCAACCTTTCGGTACTTAGAGGGGACTTATAAGAAAGATGGGGACAACCTTTTTAGCAGGGCCCATTGCAATAGGACAAGGGGTAATGTTTTTAAACTAAAGGAGGGTAGATTTAGACTAGGTATAAGGAAGACATTTTTTACAATGAGGGTGGTGAAACACTGGCACAGGTTGCCCAGAAAGGTGGTAGATGCCCCATTCCTGGAAACATTCAAGGTCAGGTTGGACGGGGCTCTGTGCAACCTGGTCGTGTAGAAGGCGTCCCTGCTCATTGCAGGGGGGTTGGACTGGATGACCTTTAAAGGTCCCTTCCAACCTAAACTATTCTATTATTCTAAAGCTACAGCTGGACACCAAGAGAAAGACCTAAAGTGAGGAGTCCACACTAATCCACCTCTTTAAAAATCTGGCCCCAAGTGACTCGCCACAGATTGGGCAGGTGTTAAGTTGCAAAGCCAGAAATAGAAAACTGATTCCCTCTCCTGGCCTTTCATTTGAGGCCTTGGACAGATTCCCAGACAACTGCCAGCCATATGAAGATATAAATTATTTGGACGAGTGCAAAGGGTAATGGACCAGGGTCAAAAGCCACCTGCAAGCTTGCAGACCCTTAGCAGGCACCAGTGGCCAGAGCAAACCTGGGGGTTGTGACTCGTGTATTTGCCACGTGGATATGTTGAAATACCCTTTCACCACCGATTCTTCCTTTTCTCCAGGCAAAATTTCTATTATATGCTGGTTTGTTCTCCACCATTCACCGGCCTAGTAGCAGATGCAGGCAGATTTATTACCGCAGAGAGAGGTAGGCTGCCATTTCTGGAGCGCTCTGCCTCCAGCGCCTGCCCAGGCTGCGGATAACACTCCGGCCGAAGAGCCGAAGGCAGGTTGCGTGATTCCTGTCAGCTGCTGTGTTGCCCACAGGGCCCGAGCAGCAGCAATGAAATGGGCTGGAGACAGGCTGAGTTCATTCTGTTACGCAGGAAAATTACAAACAGCAAGTGATAGCTGGTTTAGAAAGGCGGTCTTCAAAAAGGCAACCGATCACCATAGCCCCTCTTTCCCCAGTTAGGGGCACGCATGTGTTACCCAAAGTAAGACTTGCCTGGCATAGCGGGATCCAGATCTGGATCTGGAGCAATCGTACTGTGACTCAGGAATCCTATGGCTGAAAGCTGGTAACAGCAATCTGCAGAGGTTTATTTCTCTGTGCTCTAAAATGACCCTCTAACTGCCTTTGTCCAGATCCAAATATTTTAAATCCTAAGTAGTCGCTGCTGCTGTGAAGCGGGCAACAGCGTGGGTACCTCAAACACAGGGCAGTTCAGCTGGAAACCCAACAGCTTTCGCTTCCCTCTCACACTTCTTGATTGCGGTGAACAGCGCTTTTGTGCCACAGGCTCACCAGCACCCCATCCTCAAAATCTACTCACAGCAGCTACCGTCCTTGGCACAGGCAGCAAAGCTCACAAGCTTCCTTTTCTGTTTGAAACCAGTCCCCAGAGGCTTAATTTGCAGACGGTAATGGGATTCCACCTTCCTGCGCCTGACAGAAGGTGCCTCTGTGAGCAGCCTTGGTTCACCTTTCAAGAAGCTGACCTCTTTTTTCTTGAACAGCATCCCAGTTTTGGTATGTGGGCTGTGACAAATGTTTCAGGGAAGGATTACAGGGTTAATTAACACATTAATATTTAATCCTGCTTCCCCACTATCGGGTCGTTGGTCGAAATTTCTGCCCCGTGGACCCAAATCTACGCTGGCCATAAATATGACTTTCGTCTCAGAATCTTTTTCTTATTTTCATTCCCAACTCCTTTCTTCTTCCTCAAGCCCTGGCCTCCTTTCTTCGACAACCCTCCTTATGATCAAATTATTTTGGAAGGGAATTGTCTTCTCTTGGCTCCAGCTACAAGATCGAACCTCATTTACTGTCACTGATGTGCCCTTCCATGGTAGACTATCACCTCTTCTGTTGAGGAAGCACACTGTCTTCACGCGTGTTATCCTTACATTTCTCCTCCTCAACTCTGCAGAAGTGGAGGGAGAAGAGGAAAGGACACTACAGGGGCCTCAGCTCACTTTTGGGATGGGTGTGGAAGAGCACAGGGATGGGGAAGCTTTTGGCCAAGACAGTGTTTCTGTCTCTCAGCTGGTGTGAGGCACCTCTGGATCTGGCAGCAGGAGGGTGGGAGGTGGGATCGCAGCCTGGGGAAGGCGAATCTGTTACAGCTTTAACGCTGGATACGAGTGGCGGGGAAAGCACGTTGGCACAGGCTTTAGCACGGGAGTTTCTTGACATCCAGGGTCTTGTGCAACCAGCTTGAAGCCTATCCCATTCAATTTCCCCGCTGTTATTTGCTGAGCTAGCAGGACTGAAATACGTACACCCATCGGTGTGCAATCACCCCTTCCAGCACCGTGTACACCGGAGCTCCGGCTGCGCTCCCGCCACCCCTCCATCCAGGCCCTGCCCCCGGTGTGCCACACTGACCAGAGAAACAGGGGCTCTTCCCAGCAACCCGGGCTGCCGGGGGTGGAACTGAACCCCAAAAAGCGGATGAGATTAAGCACAAACACGTGGCTGCAGTGGAGGTTCAGTGCTTCAGCAGCTCCCTACAGCCTACTCATCTGTTCAGCATTTTTTTGGTGTCTGTTGGCCCCGACTACCCACCTCTGTGGCACGCAGGGCCAGCTCCCGAGGGATGCCAACCACACGGCACCCCAGCCGGAGCCAGCAATGGTGGGGAGCGCTGGGTGCCTCTGGCTTTCACAGCAGACCCAGCACAGGCAGCACGGCCGTGACCTCTCCTCTCTTCTGCCTTCCCCACCAG